CGATGCAGTGCCGCCGCGGGGGCGGGGAGGGGCGCAGCGTGTGCGGGTCATGGGTCACCCTTCTGCCGGCCTTTGCCGTGCGCGGCATGGGGCTGTACCCCGGAAAATGAGGCCTTTGAGAGCTCGAGAAAGATGCACCGCTAAGCTTTTTGAATTTTTTAAGTATGTAAGAGGTTTTACTGACTGTAACTTGCCATGTTTCAGTTAGTTTTGGCTAGGCTGGAAACATGGTTTCTTTTTACAAGCGGCTGTGCTGAAAGGTATTTTAAGTATAATTTTTTAAACTCAGTTGGAAGCAAAGGAATTAAAATATAATTTATATCAGTTTAGAGTATGTGAAGAATGTGCATTTTGTGTGTGTGCTGTGTGTCAAAGATCCCAGCTAGTTCTGGCTTTTTTTCCTTTCCTTGTGAATCTCTAAGCTTTGTTGGGACACTGCCAGGGCTCCAAGGTGTTCCACTTTTTATTTCTGCCTCAGATTTTTATTTACTGAATTAGTATATGTCTGTAGATGATTTTCACTTTTTACTTGACTTAGGAACAGGACTTTTATGTATAGCTCTAAACAGACAACTGATAGTTCTGGGATTTGAAGTACAGATAACAATTTCCACTTGGTACAAAGCAATACAATAATTTGTGGTAGTGTAAAGAATATCTGCTAGTTCATCAAACTGATTTTTTGCAAATTTCTATGTGTTTCCGTTTCAGTGGGGTAGAAGCTAAACAGCCCAACTCTGCCATCAGGAAATGTGTTAGAGTCCAGTTAATTAAGAATGGCAAAAAAATAACAGCTTTTGTTCCCAACGATGGCTGCCTGAACTTCATTGAGGTAATTTTCAAGAAGTGATTTATAAAACATTGTGTATCAAAGTAAAAAACAACATAATTGACCAATTCAGGAGATGGTTTGTGGTATTCTGCACCACGTGTATCTTAAAGCTGTAGGGGCACAGGCAGATGAAAAATGTGACATGTTTTTGTACACTCCCCTCCCTTGCCAAAGCCAGTTCTCAGCAGTGCTGCAGCAAGCTAAATGACATCTCTGTTTATGTTTCCTTTGTCCAAAACCCTCAAGGGGATAACAGTCCTTTATTAATGCACATTTATGAATAGCCTTCGATATTTCTATTTTTTCTTTAAATCTGAGCCACACCCCACACTCCTACTGTTGCCCATTCTAGAAGTGTGCACAGTTCAGTGTCTGTAGCTCTGTAACTATGTGGTCTCGTTGCAGGAAAACGATGAAGTCCTGGTTGCTGGTTTCGGTCGGAAGGGTCATGCTGTTGGTGACATTCCTGGAGTCCGCTTCAAGGTTGTCAAAGTAGCCAATGTTTCTCTGTTGGCTTTGTACAAGGGCAAGAAGGAGAGACCAAGATCATAAATTCAGTTTGATTTGTCAAGAGTGTCAATAAAACTTTTAATTGGAAAAACTTGTTACTTAAGGCTTACAGTTTTTCAGTGTACATCTGCAAGTGACATACCTTTGATGTTGGGGCATAGTGTCTGTTTTGTTGTTGGCAGCTGGCCTTCTGTGAGAAATGCTTTGGTATTGACCAACAGAAGGGAGCCAGAGCATTTTTATAACCAGCAGGTGAGCCTGAAAAGCTCTGCATTTCCAAATTTAGCCTTTGTATTGTGTGCAGCTGCACAGCTGTCTGCTAGGAACTTCAAGGGATTTATTTCATAGAATTATAGGGTGTTTTGGTGCTTTGTGGACCATCCCTGATCTCCAGTGCCTTCATGAGGTCTTCTTTAGTTTAATTAGTAGCGACTGTCCTGCAATCAGGGTGGATGGAGGGATTTCTCAGAAGTTTGTCCCCTCATGAAAAGGTCTCCATTAAACAATTTCTGTACTGTTGCTCTGCCAGTTGTGCAGAACAGGGAGATCTTGAAGCTTGGGCCTAAGTGTGATGCTAACAGAGCTAGCTGGGACTCTGACCTGAGGAAGCAGCCTGTGTTGTAGAAGAGAAAGGTCTCCAGTGTTTGCTGTGTTGCTGCAGTGCTGTAAAAGCACAGACTGTCACTGACACATGTGGTCTGACATGTGCTGCCTGCACCGAAAGTGAAAGTGAGCTGACTGCTGCTGTCGTGTCCCAGCCTTAATGATCATCAGAGGGCTGCATCTCTGGGAGTCTATCCCTAGGGATGGCTTCTGCAGTAAAGGAGGGGTGGAGGAGTAACAAGTTTACTCCCACATCTTGCAGTAAAGCCAGTTTCCTTGTTCTCAGTCAATAAAGCTCTGGAGTGGGTGTCTGTTACTGGATGTTAGCACAACACTTAGAGATGGAAGAGAGCTGTTAATGTGAAAAGCTTTGTCAGACAGCAAGACAAGATCTTGTATCTCTGTGAGGTCTACTGTGACCTTTCACCAGTTATTCAGGTTGTTGGGTTTTTTTTACTTATTTTTAAGAGCGGTAACTCCAGTTCTATAAAATACTCAAAAATCAATTGCTTTTCAGGAGCACAGGATAGCTGTATACTTCTTTGGACACTAAATAATTCAACTAGCCCATAACTATGTAAAGGTGTTTTTTTGTTTGTTTTTCACAGCCTTAAGTAATGCATTCCTTGGTCTTGCCTATCTGTGCAGTGGCTGAGCTAAGGTGCTGTTTGAGAGATGTTTGTATTAATGAATACTACACAATCTAGAACTTAATTGCAGACTCACCCTTCTTCTAAGGAAACAGACTGCTGTCTAGTCAAGCTGGAATTTTATCTTCAGTCATGTCAGTTGTAGAACTTCCCATAGGAACTGAAATGAAGTTTCTTACTGCTAGATCTGTCCAAAAAACAATGTTTCACTGGGACTATTCATCAGGAATCAAAACATCCCATCAAGCAAGTTGAGAGGAGAAACTGCATGAATTTCAATGCATAACAGTCTTCCTCAAATCGAAGATGTTGAAAATGGTTTTTATTCATGGTCTCCAAATGCTGGCAGCAGTTGTAGTTTCTAGTGTGAAGACAGGCGGGGGCACCTGATGCACAGTTCATCAGGCTTAGGTCCTGGAGGGATTAATAAATGGCTTATTTTATGTAATAGCATCCGGGTCCTGCTCAGCCCATAGGACTTCACACAGCTGCTTCCATGCTGAGTGCAAATTAAGTTTAGGTAGTTGGACTTGGGCAAGTCTGCCTGATTTGAAGGCACCAGTGTCTTTTAGTGCATTTCAGCTGTTTCTGTTTAACTGCTGTGCTACTGTCTTGAATGTGTCTTTCAGTAGGGCTTTTTGGCTTTATTTGCTAGATTACAAAAGTCTAAATAGTTTAAGTTTTTAAAATTTTATTTTTCAAAGATGCCTGTTCCATAATCAGGCTATTTGAAAAACTGATGCACTTCATCAGTTCATATCTTCATTTTTCTCTCCATGTTGTCCAGTTTTCCAGCATCACTTTAAAATGTGGAGGCCAGAACTAATACGGAATTACAGAACAGAATATCAAGCCAGCATTTCGTGTATCAGCCTTTAAATCATTGCCAGGTCTTCTGTTGCACTCACATACCTTAATCTTGATTTTTAGCTTCTTGAAAGTACATTTTGCACAAAGCTCACAGTGGAGCGCTGTGTTCTTTGTTTCATGTTAGAGCTATTTTTATATTCATTTGGCTCAAGTCAGAGTAAACAATTCCCTCATTATAATCACAATTTATCTGTGTGCTTATCCAAATGTCTCTACTTCAATTAGTATTCATTAATTCATATGAAAATGGAGTAAAATTTAAGAACAGATTGAGAATCTCTGCTACTGGGTATTCTGCAGCTTAGTCATCTGGGAATTGGTGAGATTTGGACTCAAACCCTTGTTGAGGCACAGAGGCAATGCTGAACTTGGGTTTTCCTTATCCTTGTACATGCAGGAGCCCCCCACTCATAATAAAAGTGGCTTTTGCTGCAGCCCCTTCCCTGTTACAGGGTAACTATGGAAAAACTGCTCCTTGCGAATTTAGGATTAAGACTGCGTCTGTTGGAACCTGACTTAAGGAACCTGACTTAAATACCCTGTAAGGTTTTCTGAGCGAGGCCTTAACTCCTACACAAATTTTGGACACAGTGTAAGCGCACCGTATGTATAGCACGCTTCAGTCAATGAGGACATGGGAGCACAGGAGATTTTGGGTGACTGTGCCATCAACTATCCCCACTGCTCCCCAGCGTGCACAGTATTGCCATTTCTTTTTTACTGTGCTTTCTGGTTTCCCAACCCTCCTCTTTTTCTGGATAGTGGAGGGTTAACTGCTTGTAATATTTTTCTTTCATGCAACCACATGTGCGTTCTGGATTTTGCCCAGAATGTTATGCGGATAGATTTTGAGGATCTTCTACATCTGCCCAGTATTTCTTACAGTTTCACTAAATCAAAGCTACTGTTTATGCACCGTAACTCCAACCACGCTATTATATGCCCCAAAATCCCAGATATATATCCATGTCCCATCTGCTGTGACTCTGTCTAATGCTTCTGTGAAATTTGGCATACATAGGTAGTAACAGGACTCCACATAGCAGAGACGCACACATTTTCTACTACAAAGTCTCTGAAATCCATCCTTCACCCAGGAGCAGAACAACGTGAGCAGACAGCTAGGGATGAAAGCACTGACTGCCATGTGTGCAACTATATTTACTAACAACAGCAGGTACACATGAGGGAAATCAGGTACACAATTACATGCAAAACAGCTACAACAGCACCAGTTTTTTCCAGGTGGTCCTTGTTTACAGTGAGACTGGAAGGTACTGGATGCGCAAACCTGAGTGCTGCACTGTGACTCACAGCCTGCAGCTCTAACAGCAGTTCCTGGGCAAGAGGCAGATCCCAGGCAGCCCATTTCAGACGCGGCTGGGATTCCAGCTCAATTTCTACAGGAGATGCATCACCTCAACAAAGCAAATCAGCTTTCATTTTGTTATAACAGCAGTCTGTTTGCTTTTGTTGTTTTGATTTGCTTTTCTTGCATAGCAAAAATGAGTAGGACTGCCAGTGATACTGCTTTTTAAAAAAGTATTTCACTGCAGCCAGTGGACTATTGAAGTACTCACTGTCACAGAATCGCACCAAAATGGCTA